GATCTAGGAATAGCGGTGACCCCATGGTCTGCCTGTGCAAGGCCTGATCTAGGAATAGCGGTGACCCCATGGTCTGCCTGTGCAAGGCCTGATCTAGGAATAGCAGTGACCCCATGGTCTGCCTGTGCAAGGCCTGATCTAGGAATAGCAGTGACCCCATGGTCTGTCTGTGCAAGGCCTGATCTAGGAACAGCGGTGACCCCATGGTCTGTCTGTGCAAGGCCTGATCTAGGAACAGCGGTGACCCCATGGTCTGTCTGTGCAAGGCTGAGTGGCTCAGAAGTGCAGCAGAGGATGTGGACAGGAGAGAAAGGGCAATGGCGGTGGCCAAGGCTCCTCAGATGGTGGGAGAGAGAACCTGCCATGAGACCAGCCTCCTCCCCGAGCGGGAGGGAAGAACAAACTGGATGGAGGAGGTTCTGCATTTGGGTGGACGGGGAGCTTCAGGGCCTGGCTGTCTGTTGGGGAAGGGAGGAAGTGTCAGAAGTGGGGTTACAGACAGGCGCTGGCATCACTGACAGGGCAGATAATTCGCTGCAGGCGTGAGCACCGCTTGTGGGATGAGCTGCTACACTGCGCTGGCAGGAAACCGAGGAACCATGCAGTGAGTGGCTCCTGTGGCTGGGTTCTTTCCTCTGGCAAGTTCCCAAGGTTCACCCACGCTGAACTACATCTACTCCTATTTATGGCCGAATTATATCCCATTCATGGGTCTCCCACATTCTGAGTTTCCACCATCAGTCGGTACACATTGTGGGCTAACTCTGCTTTTCCGCAGTCGTGAGCCATGAGTCCGCTTTAATGATGGGAGTTCCTAGGAAGTTTTCTTAGAACAAAAAACTTCAGTTGCAAGTCTTTACCAAGGGCCTGGGTTTGGGAAGGAACTGATTGCAGTACTTAGCCACACACATGTCTGGTGACTCAGAAATGAGCTTAAAAACCCATTCAAAGTGATGTTTTAGGAGATAAGTTTAGATATTCTCTGTTTTGAAAAGTGGGGATTTTTCAAGTAGAGTTGAAATTTCAAAAACTAAAGAAGCGTGAAACAATTAATTATACAGTAGAAAAGCAATTTACCTTAATGCAAAAGCCACCTACTGTGTTATGCAGGTGAAGAAGGGACAGCCTGGAGGGTCTGCTTTGTGGAATTCCCACCATGGAACATGAACAGCAAACAGAGAGTGAGCGTGCCTTTCCTGGGGGAGAGAAGTGGGGCAGTTCCGCCTCTAGGCTGGTGACCTGAGGTGTCAGGGTGACGGGAGTGGTCTGCTCCGTTTCTTGAAAATGTGCCCTGTGGTGATGAGTCCCCAGGAGAAGCCCACTGTGGAATGATCCGGTGCCACAGGTGCGGGAATGTAAATTAAGACGGACATTGTACAAGGTGGGAATAATGATTTGACAGATAAACAGACAAGACAGACTGCAGCTGACAAGAATGCAAATGGGCTGCAAAAGTAGAAGAGCCATCAGGGGGATTTGTTGATATTGACAAATCTAGAACTTCTATCTTCTTGCTTTGGATTCAAGAAGCCTGAGTTGACATGAGAATTAATGGATTTTTAAAACTAAGATGTAGTTTTGAAATTGGTACAGTTTTGCATGAAAGTCAAATCAATTATTTGTCAATGTGTCAAACATCTGGGGAAATGACTGTTACTGGGACATTTTCAAGCATGTCTGGAAGCTCCCTTTAATTTTGAGACTTTATGAAAACCAAATATAGATCAGACATTTAGTAGTGAAAGGTAGGTGTGTTGTAGGTGTAACATATACACAGATTTTCCATGACTTGGTTATGAAAGCTATAATGTACCTGTCTCATTAACAATTTTTACATTTTGATTACATCTTAAATGACAATGATTTGATATACACATACATTGGCTTGAATAAACATACTACTTGCATCAATTTACTCATTTCTCTCTAGTTTTTAATGTGACTACAAGACAATTTTCAGCCAAGGCAGGGGCTGGAGCTCAGGTGACGCAGTGCTTTATTCTGGTGGCACGAAGCCCTGGCTTCTGTCCTTAGCGCAGCAGAAGCGGAGCGTGGTGGTGGTATGCACCCAAGCTCCCAGTTCAGGAAGTGGAGGAGGAAAAGCTCATGATCACCTCAGGCTACATAGGGAGTTTAAGGGCAGCCTGGGCTGCACAAGACCCTGTCTCAAAAAACAAATCAATGAAGCAAAGCAAAACACATGAACAAACACTCCAGAATTTCAATTAGACCTATAGTTGGATTATAGGTCTCTTGGATAGGTTGCTCTAGTTTTCAGTGACGCATTGGCAAGCAAATGTGAAGTTAACTTTCCCAGCAGAGATGTTTAAAAGACAGAGTCACTTATTTTTGTCATTAATCGCTAGTGGAGATTTAAAAGCATGAGGGCGTGTAGCATGTAAATAAACGTGAGAAGTGGGGTGTGTGTGCGGGCACCTCTCAAGGTTGCAGAAAGATGAATGATGTGCCTCCAGGAGGTGCAGACACAGCTGGTAGCGGAATTACTGCAACACATTAAATGACAGCAGCTTAAACAGGGGTCGCTGTCTTTCTGCATTTACACGCAAGATGTGGAACATTCTGTCAGGTGACTGAGAGGGGAGGCCATTGTTTTGCAATTGCAGGTTATGGTTCTAGTACTATTTACCTCTGCTAAGCCTTATTTGGTAAAGTACAGATTTTTGTAGAACAAACCCGAGGCCCACCTGGCTAGTTAGGAACTGTCTAATGCTCTGAGAGGGGCAGTGATTTTAAACCTTCAAATCAGCTGACACACCTAAGCAATGGGCTCTCAGCATTCAACACAAAGTGCAAGGACAGGCCGAAAGTGACACCTGGGAATGAAACAGGGAGGAGGAAACAGAAGAAAGGAAAACACAGGAGTCTTGGTGCTTTTTCCAAAGAGAAACTGTGGAACTTTTGAGCCAACTTACTTTTCAATTTTCAAAAATAAATTTTCTAGGACAACAGATACTTTTTCCTCTTGAGCATGTTCCAAATAAGGCCCAAAGAGTTCGCCTTATTTAATACATGTAATTTGTGTGTGTGTGTGTGTGTGTGTGTGTGTGTGTGTGCCTGAGTGCGTGTGGGAGTGCACATGCGTGAGTGACGAGGACAGAGGTGGACCCTGGGCATCTTTTATTGCTCTCCACTTAGCTTTACTTTATTGAGAAATGGAGACAGGGTTTTTGTTTTGTTCTGTTTTGTTGTTGCTGAGCCTGGAGCTCACTATTCAGCCAGACAGTCTGGCGAGCAAAGCTCTTTGGATCCTTATGTCTGTCCCTAGCCACTGAGCAAGCACTGAGGGGAACAGACTTGCAGAGACCAGAGCCAAAGAGCCCCCAACAAGAGACAAAACACAAAGCTCTTCAGTCCATGCAGTGTGAACTGAAGCCCAGGGCAGAATATTTCAGAAGGACCTAGAAAAATAATCTGCTTATTCACTCTGTGTGATCTCGGTGCAGGCTGCACCTGTGAGGACAGCAGTGAAATGTGTGCTCGCATTGTCTTTAAACAGAAGGGAGGACCAACGGCCAATCCCAGAGGAGGGAATCCTGCTGGACCCAGCAGTTGTGCACATAGCTCACAGGCAGGTAACGAGCCAGCTGAGTGCTGGGAGAGCCTGGCCAACCTCCAGGAAGAGAAGGATTAATCTCAGACTCTGACAGAACCAGGGAAGATGCCACCACACCTGTCCTGGGTCTGGAGGACGCCTGGTTCCGGTGTCTACTGTTTTCAGTTCAATCTGGTATATTTGTTTACAGCTGTCAAGTTAATGTTAAAATAATATCCTTCTCCAGACAGAGCTGGAGTTCAAGATGGGGGAGATGCAGGTCTCTTAGAAACATCCTGGAAGAGAGAACGTGGGAGCCTTGCCATCTGTCCCTCCCAAACACAGTGAAGAGGACATGGAAGGGGGGGAGAGACAGGTGTTGATGTACGTGTTTCAGGACAGCGCTGTGGTGACGCAGCAGTGTGGGGACGGAGGAGCTGGACCCTGGGAACTGAAGAGCAGAAGCCACTGGGGCAGAATATCCCGGAGAAACAGGGGTCTACCCAGGTAGTGAGCTTCAGGACGGGGAGCGATGAGAGGAGCCGAGAGATGGGTGAACTGAGAAGAAAACGGTAGAAACGACATCTGGAGGTGGGAAAGGAGGGTTAGAAGCCGAGAAAGGCTGGCGAGGCTGTCTCAAGTGTCTGAATTTGTACAAGTAAGAAATGATGATGGGCTAGCAAGCACTGGCTTTGAAGGTGCTGTGACCAAATGCCCCGACTAATTACAAAAAATAGAAAGAAAGAAAAAGTTGGCTTAAGGAAGACCAAGTTAGGTACAGACCTATAAATCTATTAATCTGATGGTGTCACCAAGATCTTCAGTTCCAGAAGACTGTTCCGCAGAGGCTTATGACCAAGTGTGATGGTCAGACACCGACGGGCCCAAAGAATTTCTATAGGCAGGTGGTTGGACCCTTGTGAGATGGGGTCTAGTGGACACCCCAGTCCATTGGACACCCCACTTCTTCCCCTTTGCTTGTGGGCCATGAAGTTTTAGTTTACCCTGCTACCCTACCGTGATGTTCTGCCCCACCACAGGCCTGAAGTACCCAGGCCACTCCTAAACCGTGAGCCTGAAGGAACATTTAATCATCATGGTCTACCCAGAGTGCTTTGCTACAGTGATGGAAGTGAACTACCATGTGGAGCTCCCAACGATGAGTCAGAGTAGCTCCATGTCTCTCGCCGTTGACAGTATTCCATTGCACTGGTAATAATACACATTGCCACCGTGCTACTAAAAGACTCCAGAAGCTAACATACCCCTGAGATTACCTGCATTTACTCAGTGAGAAGTACTATGGAGGGGAGCTCTGACCTGAGCTGACAGCACAACGGGAAGCTGTTGTATAAGTACCATTATCCCTGTCTGTGCGTCTCATCAACAATAGCTGGAAATGAAGCTATAAGCAAAGACCCTCGCCCGGCACCGCCCCTAGCACAGACCCTCGCCCGGCACCGCCCCTGGCGCAGACAATCGCCCGGCACCGCCCCTGGCGCAGACCCTGCCCGGCATCGTCTCTGGCGCAGACCCTCGCCCGGCACTGCCCCTGGCGCCCACCCTCGCCCGGCACCGCCCCTGGCGCAGACCCTCACCTGGCATTGCCTCTGGTACATCTTCAGTTCCTGTAGCAGCTTCTGGTTTTCATCCTGTAACTTGTTCCTGCTCAGTGCTATTTCACTCACCGCCGACTTTAACTTTTCAATAATAAACTCATCTCTCTGGCTGGCTTCACAATCAGGATCTGATTCACACACCAGACGAGGGATCTCAGGGCTGCTGTCCTCCGGGCATTGCTTCTTACCGTTTAGCTGAGTTTGGTAATTTTGTGCCTGTTTCTGAGAAATATAATAATCAGGTAAACGAAGTGGAGAATATCATATTTAAGCTTCCATGCAGTCAGAGAAGTAAAGGAATTAGTAAAGATATCTGCCAGTGCTAGGCTTGGCTTGTGCAGTATAGTGTGATGCTTGTTTATAATCTTGATTTCAGATGATATCAGGAGAAAATGTATTTGCATAATTTCGGAGTAGGGAAGGGGTCTGGTATTAAGCAGAAAAGAAAATCTAGAAGCTATAATAAAAGAGAAATGTTAATTCAACTGCATAATCATGGTAAAGAAATAAAAGCCAGAAACAGATTGAGGGGGAAAAGCAGTTGCTAACACACAACTGGTTTTAGTAATTCCTAGTGTGTAAAACCTACATATCAATAGGGCAAGCTAGTGACACAGCAGAACACATTGAGCATGGGGGTAATGCTGAGGGGGGAAGTAAAAGGAGGACACGCCCAGCCTACCGCGGGTAAGGACATGTCAAACAAACCATACAGACATATCCTACCGCGGGTAAGGACATGTCACACAAACCATATACACATATACTTTGCTTTTGTTTTGTTGTTGTTATTTGTGAGTCAGAATCCTGTTATATACTGCAGGCTTGCCTCAAACTCATGACCCTCCTGCCTTTGGACCCCAAGTGCAGGGTGTAAGTGTCTTGAGTCACCCGGCCCCTCTCCCGAGGACCTCTAACTGCCAGGTTCCACCCACAGAATACTCTAACTGCTCTAACTGCTGGACCCTGACCCCACCCTACAGAGTAATAAGTCCAATCTCTGTACACGAAATCCCACCAATCTCCATCCTGGAAAGCTCCACCCCTTTCCCAAGGAACTCTGTATGAGCCCTGCATCCTGTTCCCTTCACTGCTGTTTCTCATCCTAGCAGAGGCAGCCATCTCCTGTGTCTGCTTTTCTTCCCGACAAATCTCATGTGTGAGGTTTGTTGTGTGGTGTGACTTTGTGGTACTCTTTGGCTCCTGGCTGCTAGGATACCTTTCCACCCGAGCTGTAATGCTGACACAGGGATAAAAGCCTGAGCCCATGGTCGCGAGGGGCTCATGCACATAATAGTACCGTCACCAGACCCACGATGGTGCTGGCCCTCAGTTCACATTTCCCTCAGTAAGTAGATTCTATACTGAATGCAAGTATGGCAGTAATTAATCTCTAATTATAATTTCCAATTTAGACAATAGTTTACCTGAAATTGATTGCATTTTTCAGATAGCAGTTTTTGCTGAGCATCCAAAGACACTAGGTGAGTCTGGTAGAGGATCTCCTGCTTGTCCCATTCCCTTGACTTCGCTCTAAATTCCTTTAGAATGGGGAAGGGAGAGATAAACAAACAGAAAAGGATTATTCCCTAAAAGTACAGTGAACAGATCTTTCTTTCCTTTGTGCATCTTCATTAGGAGAAAAAAAAAGTCTGTTCTTTACCTATTAGGAAAACAAACAGGAAAATGATGGAATTACACATTGATTGATTACTACAGGTTCTGTGTCCTGCCTCTGAACCACTTGGACCAGGGAGTTTTAGTTCAGATTTTGGATTATTTACATGTTTATAGTGAGATGCCTTGTTGATGCCATCCAAGTCTAAACACACACTCATCTGCTCCACACACCCCGTGTGTGCTCTGACAAAAGGTGACGATATGTACTCTGCTTAATATAGCCATGTGTGGTCACCCGTATTACCTGTGGAATTGTGTCTGCGCTTGAAAGTCTGGGATTCTGGAGCATTTGCGAACATTAAGTTTTCAGAATAGGTGTGTTTAAACTGTGTATTTCAGTTTTTTAAAGAAATTACAGAATTTTTAACAGACATAGTTTAAACACACCCCATTTAAGTGCAGGACCTTCAGAGCTGTTCATGCTACCAGCATCAACCAGAAAATCAGCTCCTATAGGAGCCACTGAGTTTCTACTGCTAACACTGAGACAAGAAGCCTTCTCTTAAAGAAGATGCATTTGCCTCAGGCAAACAGAGCCTACCCAAGAAAATGCTGCTACCAAGAAGTCGTGCTTAACTCTGTTCTTTTGTGTCTAAAATCCCTTTTCAATTCTTGTTTGATATCTGTTTTGTTACATGTAATTTTATTATGTTAAAGTTAAAACCTTCCTTTTTATTTAGATTGAAAATAGAAAATGATATGGGATTTCTCCTTTGTGTGCGATGAATATGTTTTTTGTTTTAACCATTGGTTAATAAAGAAGCTGTTTTGGCCAATGGCTTATCAGAGTTGGCCAGGTGGGAATCAGAGCAGATATATATAGAGAGAGTAGGCAGAGTCAAAGATGCCATGTAGCTGACGAAGGAGAAGGACATCGGAACCTTACCAGTAAGCCACAACCTCATGGTGATACACAGATTAATAGAAATGGGTTAATTTAAAATATAAGAGCTAGTTAGGAAGACGCCTAAGCCATTGGCCAAACAGTGTTATAATTAATATAGTTTCTGTGTGATTATTCAGGTCTGGGTGGCTGGGAAACCAACGCACAGTCACCACTTACGGAAAGAGATGAGGAAGATCCCTGACGCTGACTTCTGGCTTTTACACATGCTTGCATTCTCATGAACACACACCCACCCCCAATCAAAGACAAGAATTTCCTCCCATTCCCCTATTTCCTGCTGTTGAACCAAGAGGAGGTCATTGTTTGGCTCTCACCCTGTTGGCCCTTTGTCTAAGCTACCAAGCGTCTGCATTCTGCTGTAGTAGCCTGAGCTAATGTAATGTTGGCTTTATTGGCCTCTGGCTTTCAAAGCCATTGTATATAGGGTGAGGCTAAAAGCAACTCACTTGGGGAACAGAGAATACATCTTGGCCTTCATTCACATGTGTGAATTGGGGAAGAAAATGTGGGACTAGCTGGACACAGCACGCTCAGCTACACAGTGCCCACTCAACGAATGCAGCATGGAGCATGGTGGCACAATGCAGCACTGTGAGCAACAGGCACGGCTTCGGAGGTGCCAGAGAAGACAGTCCTGCATCTCACTTCTGGCTGCGCTGCTCACTGCAGCGTGTCTTCTGTCCAGGCTTTAGAAAGCTAGCACGGAGGACTTTCCATGCTAAGCTCTGCTTACAGCACCTGGTCTGGACCTGTTTCATGACTACCCCTGCCCCGCTTCTAAAGGGGAGGAGGAACAAGCCCTGTGCAGTACACAAGTACAATAAGGCTGTCACAGAAAGCCAAGGGGATGTTTTTTCTGCTACGTCAAGTCAGAACACGGCGTGTTTGGCCAGAGTGTTTGGAAAATGGCTGCAGGGGCTGACTGGGCTATCCTGGTAAAGAAACGTGTTGATGCTGAGAAAGGAAACTGTATCTAGCTTAGAACAAGAAAAACAGCCTTTCTTATTTTCTGCACAGAAATGATTTTGAGGAATATTTGGAAAAATTTAAGTGGTTTTTTTTTTAATAGTTCTAATCAGTGAAGGAGGTCTGTAGTGAGGTAGACGTTGTAGGAATTAAGGGCAATCTGGATTAAGTGGTGAGAACGTGTCTGGGGAAACGCAGGCCCAGCACACCTTATGACAAACTCTATTTACTAGGGCAATGGGGACAGTCCATTTAGAGCTATGGACTGATCTGACACTTAGTGATATAAAAATTAAGAATGGGTCTTCAGCAACAGCTACACATCTACAAAATTAGGTTCCAAGTAGAGGATGGGAACATTTAAAAATCAACACAAATTAGATTTCAAGAATGTGATTTTAATATTTATGACGATGCAATGAGAAAACCTATTATTTTGTATGCTAACTTTAGGAATTAATTAATTATTTTTTTTAGTTTTAAAATAACTCTTTGGAGGAAAATAGCAAAAATGGCATAAGATTGGTTTAAACAGCAAATATGTTTTCTTTTTTTAATGTTTCAGATAGGGTCTCACTGTTCAGCCAAGGTGGCTTTGTCAAGTCCTTCTGCCTTTACCTCTCAAGTGCTGAGATTAGCAATATAACCCACATGGCCAGTTTAGAAAATACCTTTTAAATCATAAATATACTTAGCTTCACCTACTTAACATGCACAAATAATCTTAAATAGTTCCCAGAATGCTTTAGGACGAGGCGGTAGCATTCACCTTAGTGCATAAGGGCTAAAATAGGCATGGCTGCGGTCTAGGATGGCTAGCGAGTGTCACAGACATACCCGTGGGCACTCAGACAGTCCACATTCCTTGCTACTCAGAGGTACGGCTTTCAAGGTTAGGCAGTCAGCACCACAAAGTCAGCGTGTGGGACTTCCTGAAGGCCATCCTGGGGAAGTCACCCAGTCCAACAGCGAATTCTTAAGACTACAAAGCCTTCCCTGAGTCACCTAGGTTGCCAGACGGTTATAAAATGAGTGTTTCTGGTGATAACTGGGGCATCAGATTTTAGTGGTGGTTGTTTTGAAAGAGCCTTCTTCTGAGCCCTGAGAAACTGTGTCGAGTGGTGTGTCAGTGATTCTACACATTACAAAATGACCTTAACTCTTTATTAGGATTTTTTTCGTACTTCCATAAAAAGGGAGAGTAACCAAACCACATGATCCTTATAGCTTAACAGCCACTAACAGTCTCTCTCATTTCTTGCTCTTATTTCTTGAAGTATTTTAAGGGAACTTTCTGAACGCATGCATTTTCACCCCTAAATGTGCCAGTATGTATCTAAATATAAAAGTGTGTGTGTGTATGTTATCCCCCTACAGTATCAACTATAAAGCCTTTCCTGGTGTGTGTGTGTGTGTGTGTGTGTGTGTGTGTGTGTGCATTAGGAGGGCAAAGGGCAATCTCGGTTTTCATTCCTCAAAGCCGTCCCTTTGAGTTTTGACTTTGTGTCTCTCTTGACCTGGCACTTAGTGATTAGGCGAGGCTGACTGTCAGTGTGCCCCGGGATCCACCTGCTGCAGGCTCCTTGGTGCTGGGATTACAGGTGTGCACCACCAGGCCCAGCTTCTAGACTTAGGGGGAGCTTGAGCCTAGGTCCTCGTGCTTGTGAGACAAGCACTTTACTGACTGAACTGTCCCCCAGTCCCATTGGCCTAATGCACTGATCAGAGATGGAACTTCTGAGGCTAACACGACCTAAATGTCAGAGTAGTCAACAAGTAGGGTCAGGGTGCTCTGTGGGATAAGCATGACGCTACTGCACACACCCCGTCTCCCTGTTATTACTATAGCATTGTACGTGCTTGTTTGAAAACAGGAGCAGCTATCTCCTGCATGCTATTTCCGGATGGCCGTAAGAAAAACAGCTCTGTTGGATGCCTATAATCATTCCAGTTACATGGTATTTACTCAAGACTCTTGCATAACTATAAACATACTCCTGAGGTGCTGTCAGAAACATGTCTATGAATGTGGTTCCCCTCCAGAAGTCCACAAAGAACCGACCAAGAGGACAATGGATGTTCTGACTTTCTTGTCAAGAAGAGATGAGTTCTCCAGACTCTGTGTTTGAGTACTGCCTGAGAGGTAGTCCCCCGCTGTGAGAGGCTGGGGGTAGGTGTCAGGATTTACTTGAGTGCCCTTCGCTGGGTGATAGTGGCTTTGTATCTGAGGAGCTCCATCTTATCCAGCAAGGTGTAGAACCTGTGGGCCTGCTACCACCGTGACTAGTTCCAGGCTGGGATCTCAAATTGCAATTCTTTCTGCTTTGACAAATGTTTTGGAGCAGGAGTGAGAAAGAAAGAGCAGACTACGGTGGTGATGTCTGAAGACAAGGAGACAGGAGGAAAGGCTAAGGGCAGACCCAGATGGAGAACAGCAAGGACGAGAAAGGCCACAGAGCTCCGAGCTGTCTCTGACCTTGGTCCCTGGGAGATGCAGGGTCGTCCTGAGCTCGTGAGTGGGAGAAACTGAGACTGTTGGCTGGGGTTGGGTCCTGAGGAGAAGGAAAGGAACTGGATAGAGTAGCACAATGGTTAAGGAGAAAGTGACCCCAGGCCTTGCTGCAGCCCAACAAACCAGATGTCAGGAGCTCACGGAGACACCATCCCTTACACAGGAGGAAAGACAGCTGGTTTGTGTTAGCTAAAGCTATAACATTAAAAGGGTGAGAAGAAAGGTCTTGGCAACATGTGGAACCTTTTCAGAGACGGATCTTAGAAATTCTCAACCACGCAGGACAACTTTAAGTAGAGTGGCATTGGGCCTTTAAAGAAAACCAAACAAAAAAGCTGGGACGTCGGGCCCTATTCTGAAAACACTTTTGAGGCTCTCCTAATACTTAAATGGACATTAAAAGATTTATTAGGTATTTGATTTAAGTGACCCCAGGGTGCCCTTCAATTTCACTCAACAGTCTTTGTACTTTCGTTTATTTCAGCTCTTCCAGTACGTGTGCGTGTGTGTGCGTGTGTGTGCATGTGTGTATTATAAATAATAGTTATTTCTGAATTCACTCAGTGCCTGAAGTGGAAGCTGCCCTGAGAGGCCATACTGGGTGCCATGTGCCTGGAAACCACGCCCACTTCTCCACGAGAGACGGGAATGTGTGCTCACCTCCAGCTTCTGGCTCAAACTGCTCAGCTCGAAGGGTATTTCTTCTTTGCTGGGGGCTTCTTTTCGGTGAACTTGGTTTTGCTTCATCTGGTGTAACCTCAGTTTTTCAAAGTTATTGGTTAGCTTAGAAAACTGTAAGTGACAGGAAATAGTACCAGTTACTTCCAGCTGGCCTTCCCAACCGCCCTTTGTCGCGCGGCTTTTCAAAAACGAAAGTCATAATTACAAAGTGCGGGAAAACTTAAAGGTCCCAATTAGTGAGGATGGAAGCTGCTATTAAAACCCGGCCACTGAGGCTGAGCATGGCTCCTTCTGTGAGTGGAACTGAGCCTTCCTGAGCTGGGCATGAGCGGATGACTCACTTGGTAAATGTTTCGTTCAGTTTTGTTTGAAGGGTATGTAGGCAGAGAAGCTAACAGCCTAACAAAAGCAACCCACACATTTCCTTACTTTTACTCAATGCCATCTTGTGTTGACAACTCTAATTCAGCACCTCAGTTGATATAACAGGCGGCTCGTATTTCACTTACGTCCACAGCTTTGTACCGTGGCGTCTGAGGAGACGTCAGCGTAAGACGTCAGCTTATGTTGACTTTCTGTGCCGAGATGGCTACAGAGGCTGCAGAGCCGCTGCGGACAGACTCAGGGTCGGTCTCACAGGCTTCTGGTGCGTTCGGTAGCAGTCTCTGCATGTCTGTTGCGGGCTGATCTCTTCCACCGAGTCGCCTTGGCAGCACATCTGCTTTAGTTTCTTAAGCATAACCTACTGGAGTTTTGTCTTTCTTTCTTTTTTTTTTTTCGGCTTCCCTGTATCATCATATTTGAAGGGAATTTTTTGACCAGCTCATTGAGCTGGGTCGTGTTTTTATGTATCTGGCACTCTTTAAGTTGTGCGGTTAGGGCCATTTTTGTTTAATATAATTATGGATATGCTTGATTTAAGCTTGGCTTCTTGTGTTTTGTTTTCTGGCTTCCTCTAGCCTGAGCTTTGGGTTTACTTTCCTGTTGTCCCAGGGCTCACGGGATTTTAAGTCTCCACTGTGAGTTGTGGATAGTCTTGAGTGTCTCTCCACATCTTTTCCAGCCCTTTCTCCAGGCATCAGATTGTATGCGCACAGCCTTCTGGAGTCTGCAGGTATTTGACACTTCTCTAGTTCAAATGAGGAATTCTTATTTTCTTTTCATCCCAACTCTTTTATAAACAAAAATATAACATATTTTTGATGCACACACTAGAAATTACATTAGGCATTTAATTTTTTAAAATCAAACAATTAGCAAAATTCAAGAACAGAAGGAAAGTCTGTGGCCAGGGACCCAGGGTTTTACACCAGATGTTTTTTTGGTGCCTGTGAAGACCCCTGGTAGCCACTGTAACAAAGGCTGGAGTTTCCCGCTGACTGTGCCTTGGTTTTCCCATCACTTCTGAATCACATTTTCTTTGGAACAGAACCCCAGAATCGACAGTCCTGTTCTCTCGTCATTTGTGACCTTCTGCTCCTCCGCACAAGAGGTGGCCGCTACCCAAGTTGCTTTTCCCTTCGCTAACACTTGTCTCTTTCAAATGCTTCTGGGGTTGTTTTTGTCTTTTCTATATTTCTTTGAGTTTATCTTGTTTGAGGTTCACTTAGCTTGGTGACACTATGGCCAAATTTTGGGGCATGCTATACTAGTGTGTGTGTGTGTGTGTGTGTGTGAGAGAGAGAGAGGGGGGGGAGAG